GCTTGTTGGAGCGCGTGGTGCCCATCGTCGAAATTGACGGGGGAACTGTCGTGTGTGCATACACGCTAAGAATGTATGTGTAGAGAACTCACGTCCTTCAAGTCCGGGTCCAGTTCAAGACTAACGAGCCGTGCAAACTGCTCTACAAGCGGAGGTCCCTCAATGTGACAGAAACGCGAAAGCAGCGGGTTGCCACGAATGTTCAGACGCCGTAGCTTTGGCAAATACAGGCAGCGGGGAAGAGCGTGTAGGCAGTTGTTGGAGAGGTTGAGTTCCACGAGGTTTATGCAGTAATTCAAATGCAGAGGGATGAGGCCGGTGAAGGAGCAGTCCGCCAAACTGCGTTTTATAAAAAGGAAAAAAAAAGGCTTATAGAGAGCGGACCAAATAGTCTCGAAATACGTAGGCTAACGGCCTGCGTGGCGTGTACACAACTGTCATTGCAGTTACGTCAACGAAAAAGCAGGACACCGAGGTGAGATGATAAACATTAATGTACTTGTGGGGGAGCAATTTGTGCAATACTTACTTGAGAATTCGAACCTTTTTGAGACTATCGGTTCCACTAGCCGCGTAGATGGCAACTTCGTCAATAATGTTGTTATGCTCCTCACAGGAAAGAGTTAGAGATGGGCATTCACCTAAAAATATGTTTTAAACACCCATAAAGTATATAAGATCAGCCAATGGTGGGATAAGAGGACTTAATAATAAGGGACTGAGTACCAGCGACACGACCGCAAACTCCGGGACAATGACGGAAAGGGGGTCTGAGTTGAATCCCCGATCAACCCGTTTTGGCTAAGCTCCCGAAAAAATGCCCCAAGTCAGATTGGCGTGGCCTTCACCGAACTGGCCCAATAAAAACTTTTCTCGAAACTGGCTAGTGATTGCGTAGCATGACGGGCAAAAGCGACATATTTTCCGAAACGGGTTGAGATATGGCTGACTCAAGATGGTCAACGATCAGGTCTGCTGGCGAATGAAAGAGCCTAGTGAAGGTAGTGAGTGAACGAGATCGTTAAATTAGTCGGTTGGTCCGGCAACGCTGCAGTTCTGACGAGCCGGGACTAATAACCACCAGCATGAAGAAGTGGATTGATTCAAATGATCCGAAGTCAAGTTGCCCTAAAAAGACACAGACAAAATGACATCGTCGTTTGAGCAGACGCTTCTCACGGGGATTGTGAGAGCACTGACAGTTTCCACGGACCGGAAGATAAACCTTAATCGGCATTAGGACCCGCGTATAGATGGTATCCAGCTGATCAGTTGTCATCTACATTAGTGACAAGTGGACAGTAGGTAAAAAGAATTCAAAATGGCGGTTTTGGTCAGTGCTGTCTAAGAAAGACCTTTCCAAAGTGCATTGAGGTTAACTCGAGTGCGACAGTAGACACTGGTTAGGAAAACATCATTGTTTGGGACCATTCGACCATGTTTTTTGCCACTCGACCCCTGCGAATAGTCTTGTTACCTGAATTTCGACGCCACTGCCCAACTGTGGGCAGTAGAAAGGTCACCTCACAACCTGTCTCGACACAGCCCATCAAGACCTGGAAATGGTTTTCAAGTCTTCAGTGTTTAGTCTTCGGCAGGACAAAGAAGTCATCAGGTACAACTAAGTCAAATATAGCCTTTTCAGGTTCTTCCTCGTTTTCGTCAGGGCTACTATCCCAATGTTCGACCGCACTAAAACGCAAGCTCTCAAGTTATTGTCACAAAGTTAACAAGGGGATGGGAAAATAGAAGCGAAAAATTGTGCAGTCAAGCAGACGGTGTGAAATACGCCATTTGTTATATTCTGCAGTATAGCTGTCTTGATGCAGGCCTATGCAACTACACGCTACTATACAACAAAGCCACGAAAACAGGGAAACGTTTCGTATAGGTGTGAGTGGGTAGCCTGATAGTTCGGCATACTTTTACATTCCGTCGTTCCTCCTCTCTGTCCCTGTTAGACTA